ATACACGCGATAAATCCGTAAAATAAGTTTCAGTTACAAATGAAAATAAAAATACTGTAATTTTTTCCTAATCAAAAAAAACTAACTGGGGTAGGGCCACGCAACAGTTTTCACTGTTGCACGAATGGGCAGGTCCGCCACAGAAGACCGGCGTGAAGTGGAAGTGTCATAGTTTTGCGTTTCGTCTGGTGAGCGAGGTAGCCGGCGCGCACTTGATTAAAATGTGGCATGGCATCTGCAACCCTAGGGGTGTTGCAAATGTCCATGGGCGGCGGTTACCACTTAACATCGGGTGAACCGCCAGCTCGCTTGCCACCTTCTCACATCAGAAAACCCCAACATCCACAGTTTGTGGGCGGTGACGTCACAAACTGCATTCCGGGTTCGGGCGACGTGTGAACGCGCGATCTGAGCCTATACCGAAATATGGCTTTATTTACATACGATACACATTTGGTGAGGACGATTCGTCGGTCGTAAATGTATTTATTGGCGTTTTATCGTTCGACGAATTATCATTTTACGAACGGCCATTGACGACGTTGCACGTGTCGTAGGAGCGACGGGCATTTGAACGTTTGTATAACGTAATTGTTTATTTTATATTACACTAGCTGGTGCCCGCGACTACGTCTGCGTAGAAAAGGCTGAAGGCGTACCATTCAGACAGAAAGACAGATATACATAAAATATGTATATAAATTATAGCCTATGTCTTATTCTGATGTATAAGCTATATTATTTTAGTTTCATTAAAGTTTCATTCAGTAGTATTTGCGTGAAAGAGTAACAAACATCCATCAATACATAAAAACTTTCGTGTTTATAATATTAGTAAGGATAGTAAGGAAGTAAGGATTCAAATCTTTTATTCATCAATATAAGAAACATACATTGCTTCTATCGATGGTTATTTTTTAAATCTACCGCCGTTTCGTAATAAGATTCCGATAACGGAGATGAAATAGGCGAAAGAATCTCCGTACGTATCTCATTTTTTGTCATTTTTATTTCTAAAAACGTTAACATTAAAATGTTAAATTATATTATTCAAGGAACGATTAGTTAAGCTAACGCCACAGTTAAAGTCTAAATACTTTGTATCTTCAAATCAACCCATTTTCCCGCTGTATTGCATAAACAATGAACTAGATACGACAAAACTTATACAATATGTACAATAGTACGAACGTAACATATACTTTAACAAATAAATAAATAAATGGATAATGTTTTATTAGCTTGTTTTACGTTTTGTTAGTTTTACAAGCAAAATCTTAAGTTTGAACTAATTACGTATAACCTCTATTGTTCTTCTTTAATTTTAATATAATTGGCCTCCACCCAAGCTCTTTTTTTAATTGAAGTATGAATTGCAAAAACAATCTAGTATTCCAATGAAGCGTTCACCCATTAGTGGCGTGCCGTAGTTCTTAATTTAACCGCATTTAAAGCGTGTCCGTTCGTGTATTCAATCCCATTCATTCGAAACACGAATGCAGATATGGTAATAAATAGGAGTGATTTAATCAGCTGTGGCCAATTACGTCAACGATGTTGTTGCGCCAAGGACGCGGTACAGAAATTATTAGCAGTCCAAACCTTTGCTGCGACGCGCGGGCCTTGTTTAAAATAGCTTTGGATGAGGGTTGCCATTTAAAAGGATAGATTTGTTTGGATTTTTATACTGCGACACTCATTATCACTACATAGCATAAAACAAAGTCGCTAAAGTTGCTGTCGGTCTCTCCCTTTGTATGCTTAGATCTTTAAAACTACGCAACGGATCTTGATGCGGTTTTTTTACTAGATAGGGTGATTAAAGAGGAATGTTTATATGTATTATACATTACACCCTTATTAAATCTGTAGTAAACGATTTAAGAGGAAGCAAAGCACCTTTTGGTCAAACTTATTAAAATTAGTTGTTTTTTTTTTTTAATTTAAAACTTAGTAATGTTACATTTTAAGGCATCGTTACTGTATCGATCTTATAAGTAACATTTACAATTATTTTAATTCAATTTTGTTGACCCTAGTGCGACACAGACTTTAAATTCTCGTCGCACACGACACCGACAATGGATTCATTCATAAAGTCTTAGAAGCCACGTTGTTATTTGCGGGAATGTGTCATAAAGGCGCGTGTCGCTTAAACGGGCTGTTGAAGCAGGTAAGGAAATGTTACTTGCAAACTGTTACTACATGTGACGGGAGTGGTCCGTACAACAAAACATTTATAAGTGGAGCACGAAAATTGATGCGTTTCGAAAGCGTTTTGAATCTTTTTTATAGGACGGGCACGCGCTATCACGCGATCCGAGAAACATTGTTTTATTTACATTTTGAGAAGTTTTAATCACTATCAAACTTAATATGTAGTCGTAAATGAATCTTCTTATCACAAACAAAGTTATAAGCGATGATGAAAATTTTGTTTCTTCACAAAATTGTAACCGAACAGCTTGGTCAATGTACACTTTGGTCTTTCGTATGGGCCTCTAACATGAGGAGATAGAAACTCCATCACAATCCGAATTTCACCAGAGCAACAAGCGGTAAGCCTGGCGCCATATATATCCTTAGAAACGTGTCACCGCACTTCGATTATTTTAAACCTACCAAACTTAGTTAACTTAATAATACAAAAAAAACTACGTGTGTCCTTACGCACGTAAGAAGTTATACTTCTTTAGCGTATAGACATTAATACAATCGATAACGGTTTAATTAAATAACTTTGAATGAATTTGAATTTTTAAAAGTTATTATTGGTCTCCATGGTAATACCAAGTTGCTCGCTTCGCAACAAACTATACGCATGCACGCATCGTAAAGATTTTACCCTCATAATTTCACCCAAACGCACCAAAAGAATAAAAATTCAATAACAATCAAAATTAAGATAAACATTTCTCCGACACATTGTCGCGAAATCCGTAGTTTTGCTATTTGAGTTATATCTGTGCGCGTTTAAGGTTAAGATATGTTTAGTGAATGAAACCTATGTATGCGCTATGAATCGAGTGCAGCCAACGCATATACGGCCGCGTATAATGACCTCTGAGTCATTTAGAATTACGATGGCAGACGCGGCAGCTTCACGCCTGTGTAGGAATGCAGAGTGACTTTTTGAAGTTATACTTCTTTTGGAGCGTTTGGAAGAAGTTATAAGTGGGAAAATTGACACGAACACACACCGACAGCCGAAAAGCGACATGATGATGGCAACCAATAACACTACTTTGACATCACCACAACATAGTATAAAACAAAGTCGTCCCGATGTCTGTCTGTCCCTGTGTATGATCTTTAAAACTACGCAACGGATCTTAATTGTTAATTTGTTACTTACTCCATTTAATGTCTTTTTCACCAACAAAGAGCACTGGTACAGAGGATAAATTTTTTATTTATTCTTTCGTTGTTACGCTAACGAAGTATAACTTCGTACGTGCATACATAAGTACACACAAACTTTTTTCTCTTAAAATGGCACACAGAACCCTTTAAAGTTTTTCTAATAATATTTTATATGTTGTGTAGTTAAATTATTATTTTTAAGTTTTGTACGTATCCATTGTGCTTAGACCGTGAATAACGTTTCTTCTTCATACAATCTCTCCATCACAACGCGGGTGTGGCTAGCCAGTTTTTTATAAATAGTCATACAAATTCATTTGTAAGCCCTCTGGTGTTGCAGGTGTCTCTGGGCGGCTGCGATCACTTACCATCAAATGATCCTCCTGCTCGTTTGCCGCTTTTTTCCCATAAAAAAAACCCTTCCATACAGTTTTTTTAACACGTATGGTCTTTTTACATACAAAGCTGAAATTGAAGTAGGGGCACGCAGCCTAATGTTTCACGACAGACGAAAAATTGAATAAAAACAAATAAAGTCTCACGTCTGTTAATCAGACTCCTATACGTTGCGAATCACGAAGAATTCACTAAATAAAAACAAAGTCTCACGTCTGTTAATCAGACTGCTGTGTTGCGCTGCAGTGCTTTCAATGTCGTAATTTTTAATTAATTTAGAATTGTTTACGACAACTTACGTACGTCAAGATCGGTCACCTTTAAAACAAACAAAAAAAAAAACAAAGTAAAAGCAAACTTAGATCTTACCAGAGACGAACCGTTAAGACATTCTGTCGCCAAATTATATTCGCTTTTATTGGTACCAAACATTTCATACATGACCTTTCTAAATCCAACTGTTTAAGTGACAGTCAGAACACGCGGGAATAAGCACCATATATTTAAGTACCCTGGGTATTATTCTATATGAAAACAGATTCCCTGCAACCTAACAAAAATTTCACCGGAATTTTCGAAAGTTCCGAACAACCGGACCGCTAAAATGTACACAGTTGGTGTCAGTGAACTGTTGCATTTGTTTGCTCTGAACTCTTAAGGATTACACACCGCTATCACTTAGAGCAGTGATATGGACGTGTTAATGCGGTGTTACACGCGAACCAGAGTTACGGTAAGTTGCACAACACTATTATATTTAATTGAATAAGGTTACTTTCACAACACTATCACTACATGCTATAAAACAAAATCGTCCCGATGGTCTCTCTGTCTCTCTTTAACCAACTACGCAACGGATCTTGATGCGGTTTTTTATACTTATATAGATAGAGTGATTCAAGAAGAAGGTTCATATGTATACATTGCACCCGTGCAAAGCCGGGGCGGGTCGCTAGTAATAAATAAAGAAATATTTTTACGCAACGTTCTCTAGTCCCAAACTAAGCAACGCTTGTACTATGGGTACCAGATAACTGATAAACGTACTTTTCTTTTCTAAATAAATACATATACATGTACCAGACACTGGAAAAACACTATGTTCATCACACAATATTTTTCCAGTAGTGGGGATCGAACCCAAACCCTCTGGCGCAGGAGGCGGGTATACTACCCACTACACCATTCGGGTCAATAATAATAGAAAAAAAATAATAATAGAAAGCTCTCGAAGGACCCACCTCCTTCGTCCACGGCCCCTTGACTAGCTCCGGATTGACGACCTTCGTCCACCTCTGCTGGCATTGGACGTCCGATCGGTCCGTGAACTGGGCGGCGATCGCCTCCCAGTTCTCGCTGTACAGGCTCACGTACATTTTGAGCCGTTTGTCCTGTAAATAAATGGATATCCGTTCATCATTCATCGTTTCAGCCTGTTCGAGTCCATTGCTGAACGTAGCCCTCCCCCATAGACTGCCACGAAGTACGATCCTGAGCCACCTGCATCCACCGACTTCCCGCACACTTTCACAGGTCGCCTCCATCTAGTGGGGTTCGTCCAAAACCGCGATGGCCAGTACGAGGCTGCCACTCGAGAACCTTTCTTCCCCAACGGTTATCGGTTCTACAAGCTATATGGCCGGCCCATAGCCACTTCAGCTTGCTAATCTTCTGAGCTATGTCGGTCACGTTGGTTTTACTGCGGATGTCTTCGATATGAACTTTCTCACGCAAAGAAACACCGAGCACAGCCCACTCCATAGCTCGCTGAGCGACTTCGAGCTTCCTCATACGGCCAGCAGTGAAGGATAGTTATTCGTTACTGCGGATACGGACGTTCCTATTACAGACTGGCTGGTGTCTGCTTATGACACTTAGCCTCCCGGATCTCGTTGTACATTTATATTCATTTGTACTGGAAATAAGCTGGACAATTTCGCTGTTGCACGAATGGGCAGTTTCGTCCGGGTAAGTTACACGACCTCACAGAAGACCGGCGTGAGGTGAAAGTGTTATACGTGAGTGAGTGTTTCCTGTAAGTGAGGTGGCCGGGGCGCACTTTTTTTTTTTTTTTTTTTTTTAAGTGAAAAATTGTCAAACGAGCAGACGGTTCACCTTATTTTAAGTAAACACCGCCACACATGGACGTCTGCTACACCCGAGGGTTCCAGATGCGTTGACAACCTTTTGAAAATTGGGCTCCGGCTATCTCACTTACCAGACGAAACGCGAAAGTATTTGTCATACTTCCACTTTACGCTGTACTTCTGTCTTCTGTGAGGTCATGGTACTTACCCGGACGGGCCTGCCTATTCGTGCAACGGCCAAGGCTGCAGCGTGGCCCTACCACCGTAAGGCTCATTCGTTGCCACTTTATTATAAAGTGGCAACGCATGAGCAACCCTACGGGTGTTGCAAATGTGAATGGGCGGCAGTTAACACTTATAAGTGGAATCGCCAGTTCACTTGCCACTTTCTCACATAAAAAAAAAACCGACCAAGTGCGAGTCGGACTCGCGCACGAAGGCACAAAAAAAACATGTCTGTTGTATGGTAGCCCCACTTAAATATTTTTTATTCGAATGAAGTCGTGGTGATACCACGAATAGCGGCGACAGAAATACATCATCTGTGAAAATTTCAACTGTCTAACTTTCACGGTTCATGACATACAGCAGTGACAGACAGACTCTTCACACTTCACAGCATCTGACAGCGGAGTCTTAGTAATAGGGTCCCGTTACACCCTTTGGATACGGAACCCTAAAAAGATTCAAGGCAATTAAGAAAGTAAGCGGTGACGTTGACACTAACATATCCTTTAAACAAACCTGTTAGGATTTCAATAGATTTCCGTTTTGTTATCTATCGTATGAATATTTATTAGCAGCCGCTTGTGTCGGCTTTATGATACACTATAAATTAATTTATATTTCAGAAATATGTTCGATATCGGCTCAGTTGCTTGCAACTTGTAACAACTATTTGAATGATGATTGTTATAGGTCTGAGTTCTTATTAGAGAGATGGCCCGGATAAAAAAATGTAGACAATACCATTAACGACATGGTGCATGTTATGCCGACCCCACCTAGGCATAGTTTCTCTGCATTTCGTCTGGTGTAGTGCGGACCCACTTTTTAATGGTCGACAGCATTTGCAAGCTGCCAGGTGTTGTAGAAGTCTATGGGAAGCGGGTATCACTTAACATAAGTGGCTATGACCGGGCTAGCTTGCCGACAAATTTTCACATTAAAACCAACCTTACAAAAGCTGCCCACAGCTCGTCGACTGAATTTGAACGAGGAGTCTCATTAAACAGAAAACACCCACCTCCTCCTTCGTCCAACGCCCCCTGTTGATATTCTTCCTCTGCCCAGCGCTTTTGGTTGCAGCCGCCGCATCGTCGTAGGCCGTCGAGTCCTCTGAATAGTCACTCGATTCGGTGTCATAGCCGCTGCGTCTGCGGAAAGTAGAAGACGGTTAGTTCGGGCGACTAAAACCTCAAAGTCAAAGTCAAAATATATGTACATTTTATGTGATACAGTTGCAAACGAGCCGGCGTTTCACCTGATGTTAAGTGATAACCTTGTATCTTGTATCTTGTATTAACTGATGTTTTTGCTTTCAGTCCCGAGACTATTAAAGCTTCATCTGACGCAGAACCGGTGGGCTAGCCAGAACCCACGGGTTTGGGCCCTCCGCTGTGGGTAGGACGAAGTGATAACCGCCGCCCGTGAACTTTTGCAACACCCGTAGGGTTGCAAATGCGTTGCCACCTTTAAATATAGCGGGCCCCGGCTACTACCGAGTCGAAACGTGGAAGTGTAACACTTCTACTTAACGCCGATCTTCTGCGGGGTCGTGGTACTGACCCGGGCGGACCTGCCCATTCGTGCGACAGTGAACACTGTTGCGTAGCCCGACCACGGTTAAAATATCTCTGTTCAATATAGGCTTAACTTAAGCTCGTATTGAACGTCAAAAAAAACATCATCATCATTATTAACAACGACAAGATTGGCCTAATGGGTAGTGACCCTGCCTCTTGCGGCAGAGGGTATGGGTTCGATCCCCACTACTGGAAAAATATTGTGTGTTGCACATAGTGTTTTTCCAGTGTTTCGGTCTTTATATGTATATTTATTTACATAAGAAAAGTATGTTTATCAGTTATCTAGTTAGTTTAGGCCTAAACGAAGTGTAAAAAATATCTCATGAAAAAAAATTATAAAAAAAAAATAATATCATCATCATGTTCAGCCTGTTAGAGACCGTTGAACATAGGTCTCTCGCTGATTGCTGATGCTAGGAATCAGGATAACCTTACTTAGGATACTTAAATTGTATATTTGATGCAGTTGTTAGTCAAGAGCTATGTAGATTCAAATCTAGCGCGGGACGAATATTTATATAGTCTACACAGAATATTATATTAAGGATCATATTTTATATCAACGATGACAGGTTTGAGATAGCTATAGCCCTGCTATAAAAAATAGCTTTATCTAGTCTAATTTAGCGGGAAGGGGCATTTGAGTCGTACTATACGTGGAAGATGAAGGAACTTGGTTTCCAATCTTAAGGCCCATTTACACGATGCCATTTTCTTGTACATGCAAGAGCAATAATTGAATGCAATAAATTTGTCATTGGTTAGATTTAGACCATGCAACTGTTTGAGTCCACGTGTAAATCTTTATGCATCATTGTCATCCCAGTTTACTGCCACGTTCCCACCATTTGCACAGGTCATAATGGAAAACCAAAGATTTAAATATGGTTAAAAAAAGTATTAATTATGTTGGAACTTAAGTATATTTAATTTCCAAATCGTGTTCAGACTGGCATGAAACATTTGAGTTTTTATAAAATTAACTAATGCCGTTTTAAAAATAAACAGACTAGGCGAGCGAGTCGTACTTCGTCCGATACAGAGGGAATGCTTATCTCATTAGAGCGATGTAGGTACGTACCGTCGACAAAAACGTTTTGTCAACCGATATCTTTATTGCTAATGGACTTTTGATAATGCCCATGTAAATTGATTGAGAATAAAACTACATTTTCGAATTAATGCTTCATGAAAAAAAATCTAATAAAAAAGTCAAGGACGCGCACAATCAGACGGAAAGATCGGAGATTGCGACAATGTAAGAGAGCTTTTGTTAAAACAGTTTGTATTAACAAGTTTTCTTCGCCCGCGATGTGGATATATGTCCTACACCACTATTTTTGCATAATACGAAAATTGTCAATAAATGGAAAAATCTAAAAAGTTAATCAGTTACGCGATATTCATTTTATAAACGGATTTATTGGTTTTTTATTTTAAATTCCCGGCGTTTGTGTGTGGTTATGTGGCTTTATCTTTCATTACCAACCCGTCTTTTCAAACGGCGATACGAAAATGGCGGCGATCAGTTCGATTTGTGTACTTATCGAGGCATTCCTAGAATGTGCTTTATTTCTCCCTTCGACGTACGACGACGTACGTACGCGACAGGGGAAAAATGACCCTGCGTCGATACAATCAAAGATCAAATTCGATCGCAGCGACTCGAGCCCATACCGGTTCCGAGAGAAAACCAATAATAATCCCGTCGTCCGGACCGATGAGGTAATAGAAATGTCCGAGGTAATGTATGCACGCCAATGGTCATCAGCTGATCCGGAACGGGTTTGCGGTCTCAGTCATTCGTTCACGATTCCGAACGGACCGGGAAGCTGATTCGAAATGCAATCGAATGAATGAATGCACGCGAATTGAATGAGACCGGTCGCGGACGACGTCCGCGGAGGGTTTGCTATTAAAAAGGTTTTAATTGAAAAATGAATCGCTGAAAAAACAGTCTGCGCGAAGTTCGCTACCTCTAAACGATGCAACTGGCGACATTTGTTACGGCAACAGCTCAGAAGGCCGGCCTAGCAAGTGATACGATTTTAGTAAGACGACTTAGTAAACTCAGGTGAGATCGCGGGCGAAAGCTTCTTTGTTTCACGACACAAAATTTTATATTCGCAAAACGATTCAACATAATTGTCCACTTTCAAATATAAGAAAAAAACTGAACAGAATAACAGCCTATAAATGTCCCACAGCTGGACAAAGATCTCCCATCGCAGAGCACGTGATAAGTCAGCACTTAATATTAATAATTTCATTGGTGCGGGCACCTGGGATTGAACTCAGGTTGCTCCAGTACAATGAGCTATCAAGGCCCATCAAATGTAGTGTTTCAAAAAGTAGTCTTAATAGATAAAATGATATTTTTTTGACAACCCAGACGTGTTCTTCTTTTTTCTAACTATCATGTCGATTATTAAAATAATAATAATAATACAGTAATGCTTTTGCCAAATTGTCAACGAATAATTAAACACACAAAGTCTTGTTTCGTTGAAACCAGTTTAAAACGAGTTACTATTTAAAATATAAGCGACCATAATCATTTCCCAGTATTGTGATAGCGGTGGAGGTTTGAAGAGTTTTTAAATTAATTTTCTCTATCTTGATGGAACCTAAATATTCTCTAAGCCCTCGAGACAGGTGTAGCTAATAAAAGGACATTATAAAAGTAAGATTTAAAGACAATTAGGAGAAAACAAAGGACTTACTCATATAACATCACGTCGGCTTAGCGAAAATCAGACTGCGACAGCCTTGTATAAATACTCGCCATATTTAAATTAACAAAACGATAAAATATAATATCACATACAAAATTAACAAATAAAACAATTGCACGAATAAATTCCCGTGTTTCCCGCCAAAATTTCCAAGTTAGACGTCCGCCATATTGAGGACCCGCACGCCATAAGGGCAGAAAACACACTGACAGAGAAAAATTCCCTATTCTCTCACGCAAACATGCAGTCACGCACGCACACATACATACGGCGCGCATACGCAGGCGTAATAAGGGTGAACAATACAAAAAGTAAGGGACGCTCCGAGTCCAGAAGAGGACAGACTACAATGGACGGGAACACGAAAGAAAGGGACGCCAGATCAGGTACACAATCATACCCTCCACCGTGGATGTGACGCAGGCCGCCTTAGGTAGGCAGGTGTAAACAACATGCATGGGAAAAGTACAAAGAAAATCGATTTCATAGCAGCTTTTTTTAATGTTAGTCATTCCTCATGCACAGCTTTATGGAAGCTCTCATCCGTGGGATATCGAAGCGTAAAGCGTGAAAAATTTCCATGGAGGATTGCGAAATTACTAACACACATAAGATGTTAAACAAACATTTGAAATGGCGACATACTTCAATAGTGTTTTGCAGTAAATAAATTTCTTTTGACAGGGTTGAATACACATGGATGTATATAACTCACCCCTGTATATGGATACGTCACAACTTGTTTTCTTTATGCAAGAAGGCTCGGGATGTTTACAGCACGCATGTATAGACATCCACTAGAAAACACGCATAAATATAAAACACTGCTATTACCTTGAGTAATATTTGTTTACTTGAAAAATGATTTGCGTGTATTTGCTAACAAAGAAAGTTTTATTTTATCGCGATTGTTATCTTGTTCACACGTCTATTAAATCCATGACATCAAATTCGTGATCATAGTTTTGTCCCATCCTCCAAGTGATTTGGCAATTTTCCACAAATATCCTATGTTTCCACAAAAAACGTCTAGGTGACTAAATATTTTCATCGAATGATGGGGTCGAAACGGAACCACTATTTGATGACCTTCAAGAATCATTTTATAGGAACAGCACGGAAGCCTTGCAAAGTAGACGGCAGAAAGAATATATATACGTCGCAAAGAGTTTACCGTCCTTATTTTGTTTTCTTGACTAGGCCAAGAAGTTTTCAACCTAATCTGGTCATGCCACAGTTGAAAAAGCTCAACAACTTGGTTTTAAATTTCATAAAGCAGTACCAATAAAAATTTCTACATTACATTGTAAATGAAATTACACGGTGCATGCGCACAAAAGCGAACATTTAACACGATAATGAATATGCAAAGTATGCCTGTACTTTGTACAAAATGAAACAAAGCGATCTATTTAGCTTTTTTGTACGTATTAGTGAGACAGCGGTTTGTTGCTTTTATTGAATACAAGCTTCTAGCCCGCGGCTACGCTCGCCTTGAAGCCTTAAATAAATATCTTTCTTTAACCTTTCAACCCTTTACAACACTTTTTTCCAATTAAAAAATGGCCAATGTCCTTTCTCAGACTCAAGACTATCTGTGTACCAAAATTTCATTTAAATCGGTTCAGTAGTATTGGTGTGAAAGCGAGACAGACATAGTTACTTTTGCATTTATAATATTAGTATGGATTTACTCTCGTGAACATAGATGACGGAGAGGGTTCGAAATGTTGCGAATTATAAATGAAAATTTTAATGTATCCGTAAAAAAGGACACCGCTACCTTTTCGGCTCTTACGTAATGAAATAAACTATTACGTAAACTAAACATTTGTCATTTTACCAAATCACCGAAAAGTTCGTCATTCCTGATGTTCCAACGGTACTTACCGCGCAACAAAAAATGGCTCACTTGAGGTCGGAATACGGGATACCCAATATTTTCGAACTGAGCGTGTCGTTTTTGCATACAGACGGCTCGAGTGTTGCCACATGTTTAATGTCAATCAGCTGTGAAAGCGGAAATGCGACGCACTGGAGACTAGTCAAATCTAAAGCAGTGATTTTACTCGTTGGTTAGGATGTAAGGTATAACTGGTGTAGCATGTGGCAGCTTCTGCTTTTGCGAACGGACTGCATTATCGGATAGAACTATCACTGTCTAACAGACGGTGGAAATATTTGTGTTTTCTCATTTCTTCTTGTGACAATGGGATCAAGGTATACATGATGGGAAGACTTGGGCAGCTTTCTCCCATTTTTTTTAAACGTCATGCGTGCAGGCGATTTATCTGGTCTTAAATGAAATCCGCCGCCCGTGGACATCTACACCTTGGGCTTGCATATGTGTTGGAAACCTTTATCCCCCAGTTATTTAGGTACCGGATATATGGTATTTTCAACATGCGAAATATGGCGCCAGTGTTCTGCTAATTTTTTCACATCCCCGAGGGCAAAGGCCTCTTCCGCACAGCCAAGGTACAGCCGCTTACCATTCAGCAGTATATGTGCGAGTTCGTCGGCGTTTCGTCACAATGGAACGCTATCGACTGTACACAGAATTGACTTCCTGCGCGGAGATAAGTGAAGTTCGGTGAATTTTTTGATGTTGTAGGGCAATGCCAGATAGCGGTGCGTCGCTGATACGTCGATAAGGCACTTTTTCACATAGCTATTACGAAATTTAACTGAAACTGGTCTCATCGTACACAGTTTGATCGCCAAGCTTAAAAAATTCCTGTACATAAACTTGAGAGATTTTGTGATGAAGTTTTCTATGAAGGCGTTTGCGCTTTGGGTGTGGATTAAAGAGCATTAATATTGCCTTAAACCTGAAAAGAAACCAATTCTATTCGATTGAGACGTCTGATAATTTCAACCGTAAATTAAATATAATTATGGGGCTTTCAAAGGTTCCTTGATGTCGCGTGAACATAATCTCTAATGGGGGCGACTGTCCGGACAATTTATAGGCGCAGTTGGTGCTTCCTAATTATAACGAGGAAGGAGGTAGGGTCATTTCCACCTGTCGCCGAGCCCCTGCGATCCCGATTCCGAGTCGAGATTGTCTAAAGGAACGGATGTGGTTGGTACTTGATAATTTACGCGTCGCTTGGTATCGAGGATATAAATGTGTGGAGCGTAATGGAGCATTCTTTTATTACCGTCGAATTTTCATGTTGGCATTAACCTTGAATTGTAATACAAGTTATTTAAATCGCCGATGACATGTATGTAACGAAGACTGTATGTACTTTAGTGCCATGTTAAAATATTATTCAGAAATTCTTTCATAGTGAACAAATTCTTTTAATACTGCTTTATTCACAATATAACAAAACTGAATAAAAAGTAAGTTTAAGTATTTCATATTTAGTATATTGTACTCACAATGTGTCTGCCCTCGCTTTGCAACTATTCTGGCATAGAAGTTATAAAACGGAAAATCCCATTTGCTAATAGGCGAAGTTATAAGTGGACTGAGTTATGGCTGGACTTGAAGTATGTATTTCTATTAAGGCGGACGGCTATTATTAAAATTAAATAACTATACCGGTTGCAATATATGCAAGGTTGCAACTATGAAAAGTGAATTGATTTATTTCAAACCATTGTACGATTTAATGTAAAATTAACTTGTAATAACACGTTGTTAAAATTATAAGGTGATTGTGTTTTGAACGGGCATTCAAGACTTTAATTTCGTTTCAACATTGCCGAGCTTATGTTTATTACAAATATCACCACATACCATCTGAAATGCATCCACTTTTATAACTGTTCTCTCTATCAGTCCCAGGGACCACGCAAAGCTTTATTGATCAGGCCCTATATGTAGGTTATTAACATCGATAAAGGCTTGTAAAAATGATTTTCTTTACTACTACGACGGTTGTCGACTGTCTTTACTACCTGGGACCGGTGAGTACTACGGATGGAGGTGTTATCAAGATATTCCTTGACACTGCCTACTTTCAAACGGCCAATTAGGCAACGATTCGCGGACTGTGGGGGAGCGGGGCTAAATGACAGTGTCCCAACTTAAGGAGCGCCGGCGAAGGAGCAAGGGGAGGAAGTGTCCTGTTACGCCGCGCATCCTCCGTACTTCCGCCAGGGTCCCCCACGTATTTGACCTCTTTGTTAGCACCTATACCTACGACGCTTTCTACTTTCATCTAACGGACGCTTGGACAACCGGGCTTCTATTAAGACGCGCACAAACGTACAAATAAGTAACAGCCTATATATTTCCCATTGCTGGGCAAACGCTTCCTACGTACGCGATATAAGCGCATAATAATTTTAATGTTATTGTTCTAAACATTTAGGTTTAAGTTTTTGGATTTGTATTTTCTTCTTTTTTTATCATCCCTAACATTTTTCTTTTATAAATCTAAATAATGTTAAAATAAGATATTATAATTGTATACTTCTGAAGCAAAGTAGTGAAAACTTGGCCCACATAATTATGTGTAACTGTACAAATTATTTTATGTAAGTGCTGTATGTTTTCCTAACCAATAAAATAAAAATAAAATAAAGCAATCCACCACGCGGTCTATTGCGGATTTGCAGACTTACATGTCTTAGTTTTTTGTATTATTTTGAAAATATACATGTTTCCCCACGACGTGATGAACAGACGATCTAACATAGTGTTCTTTGCACTACGAACTTGGTTTGCTCAACTCAACTTGGTTCGGTTGGAGAATGGTACGCCAAAATCATTAAAACGCACCAAAAATTCCATTCAAACACATTTTACGTTTCATCTGAAGTGCGGAGGGAAACAAGTAAAATAAAAATAAATTACATACAATGTACAGCAACAGATAGAGGTAACTAATTCATCAATTGATTGTTTTGAAGTGATGGTTAAGGTTCGGAATAAAACCTCACTCAATTAATCACACGTGTAACATGCATCCAGAAAATTAGTGTTTGGACCTAGTGTTCAAATGCGAAATTAAAAACAACAGATCAAGGCGACATCGACGTCTTTAAATGTTCCTTATAATCCGGTAAATAATAATGTTGCAATGATTTATTTCGGATATGAATTTCATAATAAGTTGGTAAAAAATTAAAGAAACTATATGTTTTCTAGATGGCGTTGGTTTCAATTCTCCTACGCGTAAAAATAGAAATATGAAATGTCAAAATTTAAATAAACTATTCTTCATTAGAGGATCGTTAGCAGAGCTTGGCGCCAGTGCGGCTTGGACTTTATACCTTAAATTGGAAATATTTTTATAAAATCTCGCGAGAGAAGAGAGAATTTCACATCGCAGAATATTAACTAATTATATAATATTTTTTTTACGTAAAAGCCTATTATTTTATTCTTACTTCACAAAGTCGTCGATGAAAGTGAAAATAATTCCACTCATTACGCTCTTACTTATGCCGCGAATGACCGTTCTTATGTTGTGACTAAGGTAGCAAGCGGCCTATCAGTGTTACCTTATCGAAGTAATTTTGTTTTATTTTATTTTATTTTATTGGGGATAACAAACAGCTACAATATATGATATGAACAGATCTGTTGCGTTGATGTAGTAATAATATTACAGCCCACTAGATTATCCACATAGATATAAAAATAAACTATGTTTCCTCACTTAACGCAATATCTAAAATCTTTTATCTACGTACGTAGTTATCATAGAAAAAGGCACCCAACGAAATTTTACCCCTGAATATACGAAGCGCTAGGGCGCGTATATGCGTATATTCTAGAGTGGCCTACCACGCGGCAGCCGTCGCTGTTGCACGAACGGGCAGATCTGTCCGGGGAAGAACCACGACCTAGCAGAAGACCGGCGTGAAGTGAAAGTGTTGTACTTCTAGTGAAATTCTACGTTGTAGTTTCTTCTGGAGAATTAGGTGGTCGGAGCCCAATTTATTAAAAGGTGGCAACGCGTTTGGGTATTGCAAATGTCCATTTATCAATTAACATCAGGTGGACCGGCAGATCGCCTGCCAACTTTTCACATAAAAAAAAACGAGCCATATCTTTAGAAGACATCGCTAGCAGCCGAATCATAAAGAATTTTCTTTACGAGCGAATACAATGTTGTAAACCAGTAACGTCCCAAAACAGTCCTTGTTTTTTTTTCGGATTTTCACATGCAAATTTCGCAACAAACCCACAGATCAAGGCGACATCGACGTCTTTAAATGTTCCTTATAATCCGGTAAATAATAATGTTGCAATGATTTATTTCGGATATGAATTTCATAATAAGTTGGTAAAAAATTAAAGAAACTATATGTTTTCTAGATGGCGTTGGTTTCAATTCTCCTACGCGTAAAAATAGAAATATGAAATGTCAAAATTTAAATAAACTATTCTTCATTAGAGGATCGTTAGCAGAGCTTGGCGCCAGTGCGGCTTGGACTTTATACCTTAAATTGGAAATATTTTTATAAAATCTCGCGAGAGAAGAGAGAATTTCACATCGCAGAATATTAACTAATTATATAATATTTTTTTTACGTAAAAGCCTATTATTTTATTCTTACTTCACAAAGTCGTCGATGAAAGTGAAAATAATTCCACTCATTACGCTCTTACTTATGCCGCGAATGACCGTTCTTATGTTGTGACTAAGGTAGCAAGCGGCCTATCAGTGTTACCTTATCGAAGTAATTTTGTTTTATTTTATTTTATTTTATTGGGGATAACAAACAGCTACAATATATGATATGAACAGATCTGTTGCGTTGATGTAGTAATAATATTACAGCCCACTAGATTATCCACATAGATATAAAAATAAACTATGTTTCCTCACTTAACGCAATATCTAAAATCTTTTATCTACGTACGTAGTTATCATAGAAAAAGGCACCCAACGAAATTTTACCCCTGAATATACGAAGCGCTAGGGCGCGTATATGCGTATATTCTAGAGTGGCCTACCACGCGGCAGCCGTCGCTGTTGCACGAACGGGCAGATCTGTCCGGGGAAGAAACCACGACCTAGCAGAAGACCGGCGTGAAGTGAAAGTGTTGTACTTCTAGTGAAATTCTACGTTGTAGTTTCTTCTGGAGAATTAGGTGGTCGGAGCCCAATTTATTAAAAGGTGGCAACGCGTTTGGGTATTGCAAATGTCCATTTATCAATTAACATCAGGTGGACCGGCAGATCGCCTGCCAACTTTTCACATAAAAAAAAACGAGCCATATCTTTAGAAGACATCGCTAGCAGCCGAATCATAAAGAATTTTCTTTACGAGCGAATACAATGTTGTAAACCAGTAACGTCCCAAAACAGTCCTTGTTTTTTTTTCGGATTTTCACATGCAAATTTCGCAACAAACCCACAGATCAAGGCGACATCGACGTCTTTAAATGTTCCTTATAATCCGGTAAATAATAATGTTGCAATGATTTATTTCGGATATGAATTTCATAATAAGTTGGTAAAAAATTAAAGAAACTATATGTTTTCTAGATGGCGTTGGTTTCAATTCTCCTACGCGTAAAAATAGAAATATGAAATGTCAAAATTTAAATAAACTATTCTTCATTAGAGGATCGTTAGCAGAGCTTGGCGCCAGTGCGGCTTGGACTTTATACCTTAAATTGGAAATATTTTTATAAAATCTCGCGAGAGAAGAGAGAATTTCACATCGCAGAATATTAACTAATTATATAATATTTTTTTTTACGTAAAAGCCTATTATTTTATTCTTACTTCACAAAGTCGTCGATGAAAGTGAAAATAATTCCACTCATTACGCTCTTACTTATGCCGCGAATGACCGTTCTTATGTTGTGACTAAGGTAGCAAGCGGCCTATCAGTGTTACCTTATCGAAGTAATTTTGTTTTATTTTATTTTATTTTATTGGGGATAACAAACAGCTACAATATATGATATGAACAGATCTGTTGCGTTGATGTAGTAATAATATTACAGCCCACTAGATTATCCACATAGATATAAAAATAAACTATGTTTCCTCACTTAACGCAATATCTAAAATCTTTTATCTACGTACGTAGTTATCATAGAAAAAGGCACCCAACGAAATTTTACCCCTGAATATACGAAGCGCTGGGGCGCGTATTTGCGTATATTCTAGAGTGGCCTACCGCGCGGCAGCCGTCGCTGTTGCACGAACGGGCAGATCTGTCCGGGGAAGAACCACGACCTAGCAGAAGACCGGCGTGAAGTGAAAGTGTTGTACTTCTAGTGAAATTCTACGTTGTAGTTTCTTCTGGAGAATTAGGTGGTCGGAGCCCAATTTATTAAAAGGTGGCAACGCGTTTGGGTATTGCAAATGTCCATTTATCAATTAACATCAGGTGGACCGGCAGATCGCCTGCCAACTTTTCACATAAAAAAAAACGAGCCATATCTTTAGAAGACATCGCTAGCAGCCGAATCATAAAGAATTTTCTTTACGAGCGAATACAATGTTGTAAACCAGTAACGTCCCAAAATAGTCCTTGTTTTTTTTTTCGGATTTTCACATGCAAATTTCGCAACAAACCCACAGATACTACCGAACCGGTCGTTACTAGCAAAAAACGTATCAAGACATTCGCATAACATACGGCGGCTCATTAAAATGTATTACGCCGGTGATCTCATAGCAGAGACGGCAACCGAAGTCTAGACGCATCATCGCTGAAGTCATTTGGTCATTCATAACATTCCGGGCCAAATAGTGAGGCCTGCTCAAAACAAAACGCACACGACTGTAACTCACACGCACGTGTAAGCCGAGACTAAGGATTTTCTATAAACGATTCTAAAATATCACCAATGCCTTTCAAATATTATTAAATATTAAATAGTTATTGCAAATATTAAATATTTCTAAACGCTTCCAAAACATCACCAATGCATTTTCCAAATGTTATTAATTATTAAATACTTAATACAAATATTAAATACTGCCAAATACATGTCGCTCGTTAAAGATACTAATTACGTCACCTTCCTTGAGTTTATCTTTAACCTATGGGAGTCTTTCGAGTAAGCTGAAGAATTTCCTTCTCAGTTATTCTCTTTCTCTTTGATACATTTATTTGAGAACTAAGTATATCTGTCTGTCACGCTGTAGTCAATTATTATCGGTTAGCACTGAGGTATCTACTGCTTCTCATAATGCGCCTAAAGGAGTCACATTGAAAATACTGGCGTGTAATAAACAACTACATTTTTACTGACAAAAATAAGTATGTTTCAATTTTCGTCAATGAAATCACTATACATTTTCTATTTGACTTAGAGGAGTTCCCTGACATATCTCCGAAATCCAAGGTTCAATACGAAATTCAATGGGACTAAATGCCACCTAGACCGAACCCAATACAAACTCCTTTTTTGACGTCGGTTGAAAAGAATCTTGATTTGGTACATTCGCTATCGGGATAAATGACAGAAAAAGCAGTTACAATTTATTGATATAGCGTGTCGTTACCATCGCGACAATAAATGCTCTAATACCTTTTGTACAAAAAGTACCATGGCCAGCTTTGGGGTGAACCATGTTGTTCCTTTAAACGTCTAACGCTACTTGAACACACGTCTAACGCTACTTGCCAATACTCATAAAAAAATATTAACGTTAAACAAAATCCATAATTAAAAAAAAATATTTTTCAAACAAACTAAGTAAAAAAGAAACAAAATTTGTAACATCCTATACAACTAGCGCCACAGCGTCGCATTACAAGCCTCTCCTTCTAACAGTATGTTTTATCTCTTTTAAATTCATTCAACCCATTCATATGCTTTGTGACCTTTACAAATGAACTTTACGTTACAGTTTTATACGTAAGGGTGTTCTAAAATTGTTTGTTTTGGAAAATTTAATAACTCGGTAAATGTTGATGTTTAAAGAATATAAATGTTGAATACAATTTTAAAAAGTTATCCTCTATATGTGTGTTCATTTATTGTCGCGGTGGTAACGACACGCTGTATACATTAAATTATATATTACTAGCTGACCCGGCAATCGTTGTTTTGCCATATAAATTATTTGTAGAAAAAAATGTTGGGGTGGACCACCCTTAACATTTAGGGGGATGAAAAATAGATGTTGTCCGATTCTCCACCCGGGCCGATATGCACGAAAATCGGTCCAGCCGTTTCGGAGGAGTTCAATTACAAACACCGTGACACGAGAATTTTATATATTAGATTAGCGTTTATATCATCCATCCACTCGTGGGCGCCCATATTGTAAAGGATCGCAACACATCTGTAAACATTTTCGCGGTCATAACTCAACAGGAGAATCGATTACTAAGTATCAATCATTTAATTATAAAAGACATTGTATTAACTAGGTGGAAGGTAAGACCTTGAGGGACCCCGTAAATGACAGAGCGAATGCAATCTCATTTTGCGTACACAAATGTTCATACATACACGCGAGTGTGGGTCTCACACTAGCGGCGTCTCTTACGCATTCCTCGGAACCCATATGACTGGTTCGCATTACAGAAATACGCGCGGAATATAATAAAAGCGCGAAGGGATTAAGTTGAACTAGTAACATAATAAACACAAACGGCTATCGCGTTGCACGATATCGTATCGCGTTTACTGTTGGGATGTTCCAGGGCGTCCGGTCGACTGTCAATGTGAAAATAAGCCATTACTTTTGTAAACCGACGGTTCACTTGTTTCTGAGTAACACGTATATATGTAACTATACATAGCCTCTGGACTGTAAGCTTTACTTGACAGGAACAGAAGTAGCCGCTGTCTATACAGGTACTTTACTATTTATTGTGGACCTATAGTTCGAAACGGAACAGAAGGCGGATGTATATTGTAGATATTTTGATTGCATTAGATTTACTTCAATTTAATAAATCGTTATTTTATAAAAAAAAAATTATGTGAACAGTTGGCAAGCGATCAAGACGGTACGTACACCTTGACGGTACACTAGACGAAACGCAGAAATGTAACACTTCTGTAGTGAGTGAGGTAGCCGGGGCGCGTTTATTTAAAGGTGGCAACGCATTTGCAAAAAGAACCCAAATAACCCACAAAAAACCCATACATCTATGACACCAGACGGGTTGCAGATAGACCACAAAAATGCGCCCCGGCTTGCTCTATCACCACACGAAACTGAAAGTACCTTTAATACCTTCCACTTTGCGTTAATATTCTGATGCTGTATTACTTCTCGGGAGCGCTAATTCGTGCGACAGCCGAAGTGATACCACAGAGATGCAGAAAAAAAACGAACAGCCGAGTCCATTAAAAAAACAACTCGCAACGCGACACCAAATCGCCATGAGAAAACTCGACGGGGGAAGGTCGCTGGTGTCTTTTTACGTAACCCCATCCAGTCCGTTCGGATGGAAGTAATTATTTTCATCCTCCGAGCTGTGTTGAACGCGAAAATGCTGATATCGGAACGCGAGGCGAACTTCGGTGGATGGAACCAGTTCCAGGTGAAACGGGGTATGCCCTTCGCCCGGGGGCGCTGCCGAATTTGAATTGTTAATACCCAAGCTCGTTACGGCCGCCTTTGCTTATTAAACTAATTGCTAATTGCTCGAAGGCTCTACTGGACGGGTCGGTGGAAAAAATTAAATTCAGCTCGATCTTGTAATGGTGTCTTTCTTTTTTCTTGGATATGTCATATCCGCATATGGCGAAAGGGTTTTCTTTACAACATATCTGCATCGTTTAAGAAATTCGCTTCAGTAAACTCACCACACGTCCATTTAATATTTTAATGGTGTTAAAGGCAATAAATATAAAGTGGGATTTGATGTCAAATTACTACTACTAGTGGGGTAACTTTCATGCTTGATTATGAATTAAAATCTAATCATTTCTTCGAGAGTGTTAACTATTAATGAATTTGATTTTTTATGCGAAAAGTTGGCAAGCGAGCAGGCGGTTCACCTGATATTAAGTGTCAGTTGCGTTGCCCCGGTTACCTCACTCACCAGACGAAACGCGAAAGTATAATACTTCCACTTCACGCCGGTCTTCTGAGAGGCCGTGGTTCTCCCCGGCCGAACCTACCCATTTGTGCAACAGCATAATGTGCAGCGTGTTATTTTAATTATTATTTTTCCTGAATTAAGTGTTTCGTTCCAAAATTTCGTCAATTACACTAAAGTGTCAAAGTGGTAACCCTATTAGGCGGTGACGTCATATTCGTCAGTTTGTTATATAACGTATTCTTGAACGTCGAATTACCAGATGCCGTTTTATTACACAGAGCGAATACAGGACCACCCAAAGAGGCCCCCATGTAATTGCCAAAATAGGTTGTACATGCATTATTTCATCGCGGACGGATGTTAAAAAATAATAAAGCATATAATATTGCTTTAAACATATATTTATATCATATGAGATACTCAAATAAACCCGATTAACTAATAACTTGATGACAATGTTTTAGATAAAATATAGCAATTATTGTCACTCGTAAAGATTATACCAATATTTCGATCAACGGTGTCGTTATTGGTCTAACGAAATTATTAAGCTCTGTATAACTCTACTGATCTATCGCAATCATAATATTCATGCTGTATGGAAACAAAAAATAGCAATTTATTTACTAAGTAATCCCTCTTAGCTCCCATAAAGCCATTGAAATGTCATTCAGAAACTGGTATAATACTTATAAATTATTGAGAATGAACAACAATTGCTTCGCTAAAACAACAGTAACTAGTCTTACCATTCATCGTGGTGACCAGAAGTCGAGGCCCCCAGACTAATGGTGCCACTAAATAATTTAAGAGCAAAACATTATTACGTCACGCGATAAGAATAAACTTATTTACTCAAGTGTTTCACGCTCGCCAGCTGAATGAGTGATAACGGAGCTAGGGTTGGTGATAATGACCATTCATTAATAATTAAATTATTGCAAACATTCTATAAAGAGATCGTGTTTAACGCAACGAATTAGCCATACACGATTTTATTATTATTCACACGCACTTGCACGAGCTTTGTACTTACAAATGCAAGCAAACAAAAACTCACAAGCATCTAGTCACCACTGCACCTCAGTCACTGATGATAGAATGAAAGAACGCACGATGTTTTTGAAATATCGTTATCGAATAACCGGACAATTTACATCTGTTCATTATGAATGGTTATCCAACCAACAATAAACTTAATAGAGACACACAAACGTGTGTGTGTGGCCTACATATAAGCACAAACTTACCGAAAAAAAATCTCGATTTAGTGTAGTGACCGTCCAACAAATAAAACGAAATATTTGTATAACGAACTTTCTACATAAATAAAGTGATACCGGCCTATTCTACGAAAGTAGTTACGTTAAAAAAAACTTTTAGTCATATTTTAAAAACACGACATTACATTACATGCTCACAAAATGAAATATGTGTAACTGAAGCTAAGAGAAAGAGCAATTTATTTATTTATCGTTTACTGCATTTACAAGAATACTAGATCTGACGAGTACCTACTTCCTTTTTTGTTTTTAGTTTTTTTTTTTTTTTTTGAAGCAATCAAATGTTCACAATTTTGGCTCCTTTATAAGTCAATTTAAAAAGATGATAAAGTAGAATAAACATAAAGAACGACCATGTATTCGGCCCTTTACAATGAGGACGCATGTTATCATCATATTCATTACTCAAGCATTTCATTTCGTTATCCAGTCGCTCATACGATAGCGAATATAATATTAATTATTTTCCCCTCCCGTAATTAATGACCAATCTCTCACATGAAATGAAAAATGATTTGTCGCATGCTTTTATGTGTTTCTATAACTAATAGTTTCTTTATTACTTACAGAAACACTTATTTGAAATAATATTTATTTACTTTCGTAAATATTACAATGGGCTGATCATATGTTTATGTCCATGTTACTGTAACTTTAACATTCTTATAAATGGTTGTCTGTTACAGAAACCCAACTGGATTATTTTAACTGGCAACCTACTGACTATAACCTAGTAGACAATATTTTTATTTATTTATTATATTTTAATAACAATTATTTTTATGAAAAGTCATTTCATTTCATCACCATAAATTTTATGTAATCGTTTTTTTCATTCATTATATTAAACGTGTTGAAAGAAAAAACACGTCAAACGACAACTTATCAAAGCTATTTTTGCTGATACATAGGCCAATGAAAAGTCTAGTTTAGTAACGTTATTTAATTTACTCATTATTTGATAACATTGCAAAGAAATATAGCAAAATAAAACCACGAAGACTATTATATTCTTTCACTTTACTGGTGTTTGCACTTTTATATGTGCATGAGGTAATGAAATAAAAAATATATTACAAGAGTAATGGAAATTAGATACATAATACATCAATTAAAAATATTTCTTAATCTATGTAGAACAATATAAAAAAACTATATACTATATTATAGCACAATGGGATATTCCCAGCCATAAATCAAATATATTTTTAAAGAATAGTCTAATAGAACAGTCTCCCTTCTAATCTTGAATAAATACGCGCTTTCAACAAACAGGTTCACTACCCCATCGACCGTAGACAAGCGCTCACATTTTCATCTATGGCCATTGGGACGATGACACAATGGAGATAAAGCCAAGGGGTAGATGCGAATAAGCTTGCGTCTATTCTGCGTGATATTTTCTCACGCGGCAGGGCCTACGCAGTTTCTATTACGAAGTTGGAACACGTGGGATACAGGTTTCTTTATTGATAAGAAAACCCGAGAGCCGGGATGCCGTCGGCGGAATGTCCCGTGGTTTGCCTGTCCGTTTTTTCCCGTGCGAGATAGGGCTACTTAGGCCGCCGCCTAGCACTCCATACTGCGAAGCTAATAGCTTGGATCGTTACGAAGAATCGTGTAATGAGAGTTAAGACGGTACTTTATTTATCTGTAAATGTCCGATCATGAAAAGGAGCTTATAGAATGTTGAGGTCTTGCAGTGCTGGTGTGATTTGTTCTAATTTTGTAAATTACAAAAATAAATAAAATAATTGACCGAGGTCAAATCTGACATTCAGGTTCAATTCATGCTGGAAAGGGTTCGAAAAGTGGGCAAATTAAAAATCTTATAAAACGCTATATATTGCGTAACATTGTGTCATTTAACTATATAGTATAAAACAAAGTCGCTTTCACTACATAGTATAAAACAAAGTCGTACCGTTGTCTGTCTGTCCCTATGATTAGATCTATAAAACTACGCAACGAATCTTGATGCGGTTTTTTGTACTAGATAGTGATTCGAGAGGAAGGTTTATGTATAATACGTTGCACCCGTGCGAAGCTGGGGCGGGTCACTAGTGTATAATATTCGCGGTATAACATGAAATTAATACGTCAACGTGTTCTGTTTAACTAAATCTCATTTCAACGGTCATTAAAAAAGTACCAGTTGTTCTCAAATCTAGATCTACTTGCCCAGAGAAGTCGCCAAAACGCACTGTACGGTCAATGTAAATTATTTAATTTTAAAAGCAGCATACCAAAATTTGTATTGTTTTCTTTCGTAATGAGTTGAGGTAAAAATTCACAAGGCCTTGGATAAAACTTAAGTTGAAATCTGTAAATAAATATAATTGCTACATTTATTGCACCAAATAAGCATCGGTGATACTGAATGACTGTGAATGGATGATTGTTTTGATGAATAATAAACACTGCTGTTTGCGAAAAAGGAACAATGAGTGTTTATAATAATTATGATATCGACTAATTTATTGGGTGTAAATATTTCGTAATTTACGAAATTCTGTTTTTATTTATCTACGCTTACGTCGAGTTGTATTATTTTTTAAGCTCTGTCATATTTATTTTATTTTTTTAAATTGCAATTAAGAGTTGCAATACATTTGAATAACGCATGCCATAAAATTATAAAAATATAACTATCATTTTAACTATAAATATCCCAACCGATCTTAAAATTGGTCAACAATAAATAGCTACATTATTTATCTATTAATTTTATCTAGAAATATCACCCTTAGTAAAACAAATCGGTGGAAAGAACAATGATAACTAAGAATATACGTTTTGCAGCAATAAAGACCGCATTCATTACACATTACTTTTTTAAAACCATACACAGTAAGACATACTTAACACATTTTTCTCTCATACACTTAACTTGTATTGGGATAAAAGACAGTTTACAAAAACAGTGACGAAAAAAAATTGACACTAAAGCGCAATCTACGAGAAAAATCTAGAAGCTGTTAAGAGTTGTTGACTAAACGAGGGGCCGTACTTTATCTTGCACTTTTTCATCGAACATATGCCGTCTGCGACATGCGAGCACGTGGGGAAGGCTTGTGATATAGCGGAGAGCGATCTCTCTTAGTTGCTACGTTATTTAAATTAAAATTAAGTAATAACATAAAAAAATAATATGTGTGTACCTACTTATTTACGCACGTAAAAAGTTGTGCTTCTTTAGCGTAACAAAAGATAATTACTTTAA